ATGAGCACAGAAAAATAGGGAGTAAGGAGAAGTTCAAATAACTCCCCAACTTCTCTGTTCTGCTGTTTGAAAAGTATTTTAACCTAACGCTAATTTGCTTCATTTCTACTACTGGGTTCTTTGTAAGAAAGAATCTTTTCTTATTTGTAACTTGTGCTCTGGGTAACACATGGGCCAGTCTTTAAAGATCATGATTGTTGTTCTCTCATTATTTTGTTATGAAATTTTAGGGTTCTTTTATAGAAATGCAGGGAGAGTGTTTTTATGTTTTCTGTATTGATATGTACTTGTATTACATTAAATTAAAAATTTAAAACTTTTTAAAAACTATATGTAGATTAATGGATCTATTGACTTTCTTCACTTTATGTCCTCAAAAATTTTTCTGTACACTTCTTGTAAGTTAGAGATACTAGAATGTTACATCTGAATCAGCTCTTTTTCAGGCAAATGAAGAAAAAAAGAGGAAAGATCACTAAAAGAAAGCAAGGCCACAAAAAAATTCTTCTAACAGAGCTACAGCACCTTGACGACCCAAGGGAAGACAAGGCCGAAAGCGTATCCGCTTCACCAACAGGGAAGTCAGTCGCATATATTAACATGAAAAACCTGTACATGTTGAGTGTGTTTGCTTTCCAAGTCATTGCTATGTGCTGATGTCATGGGGAGCATTATTTACATGTTCAAATACAGGAAACAAGCCATGCCTGGTAGCACATGTCTGTAATTCCTACTTTTGGGAGACAGGATTCCAACTTTCAGCCTAGCTTGGGCTACTGAGCAAGACCTTTCCAATAAAAAACAAAATGTGGAGCACTTGTCCTGACTTATGAGCAAATATTCTTTCCATTACACTCTTACATTCTCATTGTTCTGTCCTGGGGGTGGCATCTATATTAACCACATAATTGCCGGAACGCTATGAATGGGCCCCAGTGTGCTCCTCTTGAGTAGGTTAAGCCATGTCAACATAGGAGACTTACTTAATGCCTCTGGTCATATACCTAAGTGTGGGAATTACAATGCATGTGTGTATTTGTGTATGTAAATTTATGCATGTAGACACATATTTGAATATAAATGGGTCTGTGTGCAAACTGGTACAAGTATTCTAGTACACACACACACACACATACACAACTTGAACAGTGATAAGTAAATGGTAACTAGCACGACAAAGTCAGGTCCAATAGGACACCAGTCTTCTAATCCTAGAGATTACAAAATAAAAACGATTTTTAAAAATTTCTTCCTTCAGTTTTCTCATTCACATATCCTGAAGAGCAGATGTTTCTTGAAACTTCTCAGCCCCAGGCTAAAGGAGTAAAAGGTGAAGGTGCGCTAGGAATATCCTGGGCGAAGCAGAGGCGCAGGGCCTGTTGTCCGTGCCCACCCAGGTTCCAAACCAGACCGCTGCTGCCTCGACCTGTGCTGGCTCTCGGGATCTTCTGGTCAGCTTCGCAACACTTCTGGAGGAGGACAAGGGGGTGGTCCAGTGTCATGGTCCATCCGCAGCCCAGCTCTTGGGCAGGCTACATTGTCTACACCTCTTCGAGATCGTTTCTCAAGTTTAGGAGAGAAAATGAAAATTTCAAACTAAAAGAAACATACAGAAAAGCGCCGTGTGTGTGTGTGTGTGTGTGTGTGTGTGTGTGTGTGTGTTGGGGAGATCTGTCCACCTCTTCTCCCCCGCCAGTGCAGCCACCAGAGCACCAAAGGAGTGGGTATCGGAGAGGGCAGATCTATAGAAACTTCCTCCAAAGTTGCAGGCAGGAACAAAACACTTCAGAAGACAAGACTGGACGGACGGGAGGAGGAGCTGAAGGAGGACAAAGCAGAGGGCACCTCACGGCGGCCCGACCAATTCTAGAACAGGGCTGGAGCAGAGAGGGTTGAGCGCTGCCCTCCTCTCCTGCGCTCAGGGCCCAGCCCTGGTTGGGGCGCAGCGGGTGCGGAGGGGAAGCGCTGGACCCGAGCAAGGCTGGCCTGGGGTTCACATCTAGGAGTAAAGGAGACGTGGAAGGCGGGAGATGGCCTCGGCTGCGTCGTTTCTGGGTGTCACTGGTCCCGGGTGTTGTAGACGATTCCCCGTTAGAACTCAGCTCCGGGGCAGCGCTGCGCTGCGCTGCGTCCTCCATTGAGGAGGACGCATCACTCGAAAGGCGGCTCGGCTCCAGGGACTGCGACGCAGACAGCGCCGGCACCTTCTCCGGGCCTCCCCTGGGGAACTGCAGCCCGGCCGCCCCGCGGGGCCACACTCGGGGCTGCGGGCGTCGAGGGCAGCGGCAGAAGGGCACTGCCGGACCTTGGGAACTTGCCCCGCCGGCAAGTTCTATCTGGGCCTGAGCTCTCCAGGGCCCGCGAACTCCTGCAGACCCACGTGTCGTCTCTTCCCGGCCCTTGCAGTCGGTGGCGAACAAGCACCCCTGGCAAATTCAGGCGCCTGCTCCCCCGAGAAGCGGAGGGACACAGAGGACAGGGGCTCGGCGACCTAGGGGAGTGCAGGGACCTTGGGTGCCTGTCAGGTCCGGTGTCCTTCCGCTGCCGGCCTAAAGCAAAGGCCGCCCAGCCCAAGCAACTGGTTGGCTTTAGGGCCTGCAGTTCCCGCACTCGAAGCTCGGGCAACCTGCTTGGACTGGGCCACCTGGCACGGACTTTTTGGGACCAGCTGGTCTTGATGCCTACACGACCCTGTCACCTCCTTCCCTCAGCTGTGAGCAGACGCTGCAGCTCCGAGACAGGCGCGGTTACAGCTCCTCTCTGGGAAGCTCAGACGCAGGAGAGGGCTACAGTGCATCTGGAAGCCTGAACAGGCAGCATTCAAATCAAACATTCCTGAGTTTGCCTTGGCTGACAGCGAGACTAGCTTTGGGCACCCTTTCCCTACCACTTCCCGCCAAAGTGGTCTCGTGGGCAGACAGATCAGCATAACTGCACAGCCCTAAAGTGCCTGCCATGAAAACACCTACCTGGATTGCCCTGGCGAGGCTTAGCCAAGGCCGGGCTTCCTTCCTGATTGTGTGATTAAGTTAATGGCCACACAGGAGAAAACAAGGGGAGGCTCTGAGTGTCTGCGTGGAGTCTCCAGAAAATGTGATTCTGGACTGGGAAGAAGCCTTTGCAAAAGGTAACGTTTGCTCACCTTCGTGCAGACCTCAGTGCCTTCCTATCTGGACCCGCAGTAGATGATGAAGCCACTTTGGTGATAAAGAGAGCCCAAGGACCAGACAGAAAGAAAAAGGATAGTCAGGGTTTTGTTTTTTTAATTAGGCCCCAGGACCACCTGCATTTGTGTGCATTGAATAGGTATTTGTTCCAGATATCCGCTAGTGTTCCAGTCTGGGGCAGTCTAGTGTGCCTGTCAAATAATGTGACTTAAAACTCCTGGAGACGCATCTTGCTTGTGTTCAAACGCCCTCACTGCTTGCTAACCATTTTGTCAGTCTTGGTCTTTCTCTAGGAAGTCCCCTTTAGGGTCAAGAGGTTTGCTCATTAGGTAAAACAAGTGGAACACGCCTCACTTATTTACAGACAGGGAAACCAAGCCACAGGTAAATCTGTGAGGCCAGCAGGATACAAGGTCAGGCTGGTCAGGAATAGCAGGGGTAGAAGTAGAATTTTGGACTGTTCTTCTGGAAGCACCTTGCTGGGGATGCGTGTAACAGTCATCAATCTGTCGCTGAGGACAACTGAAAGCAGTCCTCAAATGTAACACAGAAAAGTATCTGAACGATCCTGAAGAAGTCAGCCTACTTTTTCACCAACTTTCCTTACACTCCCTGTAGACGCCTGGTATTTCCTGATGCCAAGTCTTCCCCGCCCCAGTTTTCTTTTCTTTTTCTTATCTTTCCTCTTTGTTCTTTCAAACAGTCTCATGAAGTTGCCCAGGCAGGTCTCAAGCTTCAATCTTTGAGCCTCTCTCAGTCCTGGGATCACAGGCTGTGCCACCTCTGGGTGCTCCTCAGTCTTGTCCTTACCTGCTCCCTATCACAACGTGTTTTGTGGCAGCCTTAACATAATCAAGGCCTTGACGTCCTTTTAGGAAAAGGCATGGAAAGTCTTGTACTGAGACCTCCAGTAAATTCTCCATTTCAGACCTTTTCACAAGTGTCCCTAGGGAAGATCAGCAGAAGGGGGAAAGACGGGGAAATAGAATAGCTTTCTCCTGGGATGGCTAAAGCAGTGCCTGTATCTAGAGCATCCACCGATGACTATGCGGATGCCCAGGAGTTGTGAGCACACTACAGTAGGACCTAAGGTACCAATTCTATAGATGGTCTTATGTCTGATAGTTACTAGACAAACAGCTTACACTTACACAAATACCCTCTATTTAAGTAAGAACTGTTGCCAGCATATGAGGACTACAGAGTGACTTTCATAAAGGGAACAGGGAGAGGAGGAAAGTTGTCGGTTCTTTTTATTATAATGTTGCATAACTATTTCCCCTACCCCCACTGTGTATCTCTTGAAGACTTTAGAAGCAAAACTGGGCCCTTCAACACAGGCTGCCCTCAAACCATGATCTGTTCACTAGAAGGGTCTCTTGCTGGATGCCAGAGTGCTGAAAGGATCTAGAGTATAAAATGTTCTTCCATGTAGACATCACTCCTAGAACAAAAGTGGGTCTTTCTCTGTTCTCCCAGATGTAGGCCTGAAAACTGTCCTCTCTGGCCATTTGAGAAGATACTAATTATCTTGCTGCCGAAAAGAATGCAGATGTCCCAGCAAGAGGTTAGCTGCACAGCAGGGATTTTTGTCAAAATGAATTGTCTTTGATCAAGAAGCCCAACAACACTTTCCAGCCAAAGATTTTCCAAACCATAACCAAACCATCTTTTAGGCACACAACTGGCTCACACTAAACATCCGCAAAGTGGGTCAAGGCTTATTACCCCTCTCTTCTGCCATCTCTTCCTTTCTGTTCAGGGACTGAACGGTATCTGCTCAAAGTGCAGCACCTGACTATCGAAAAAGTATGTTAAGAACTTTTCAAAAAGTAGCTTTGAAGAAAATAGTCATTTATTGTCAAAGCATCCAACATACCGAGATAAACTATAAAGTTTAATAAATCTTTCCAGGGATAAAAGAAACACATAACTATTCAGACTCCATTTCACTGACACAAAATTACACTTTGTATTAAAAGGAAATACATATTTACATAATTGATGACATTCTTCATTGAAGTCCATAATCATTTCATGATCCATGCACTTCCCCCTGGAAACTTGAACTGAATGGCAAGCCCCTTTTTATTCATTTTGTTTATTTCTGTAAGAACGCAAGCTATCATCAAGAAATGCAGAAAGCATCTCACCGTCCTCCGTTGCTTTATATCTAAAATAAATTTTACCCTTACATATAATTATTACATCTAAACCGTAAGTGCTTAATAATTTAAGTAGAAACGTATGACAAATGCATCAATATGTTGCAATATATGACATTTTTAAAAATGTGCCTTTGTTTTTGGGAAAGTGAAAATGCGTGCATTCAAAAGAAAACCCCTTCCAACCACCCACCCAATCAAAACTCCACCATCCTGTCGCGCGCGTGCGCGTCTCTGTGTGCGTGTCCCGGGTAAATATCTGAAGGAGGGGAAGGGGCACGTGTTCGAGCGTGTGTATGCGTGAGTGTGTGTGCGTTTGCGTGCGCGTGTGCAGCGTTTCTGGCGCGAGGAAGCGGTGGGTGTCCTCACGACTTTGCTCCTGCAGGTGGCTGGCCTGCGCGCGCGGACGCCTGGGGTCCGCTCCGTGTCAGTTGTGCGAGGTCATGTGCCTGGACAGGTGGTGGCGCTCCCTGAAGGACTCGTTGCAAATGGGGCACTTGAGTTTCTCCTCCCGCCGCCGCTTGACCAGCGGCTCCATGGCGTACTCCTTTTTGTGGTGCGAGCGCATGTGGTACACCAGGTCGGAGGTCATGCGGAAGGAGGCGTTGCACTTGGCGCACCAGTTCTGCGCGGGCAGACACAGCGAGGTGAAGGAGGGCGGCAGCAGCGTGAGCGCCGCGGGCAGCTGCAGCTGGAGGGGCCCGGCCGCCGCCGCCGCGCTCTTGGGCCAGAAGGCCGTGGCGTAGAGGAACGGGCTCTGCTTGGGCAGCCCGCCGCCGCCGCTC